GCAAGGCAGAGGCACCTCCTGTTTTTAGTATTTAAATGTTTTGTGACAGTGATTCCCACCATGTGTGGCAAAACTTTCCTTTTTGAAAGGATTTACGCTAATTTACAGCAAGGGTTCTATTTGTATATTCAACAAATTCGAAAGCCGCTTTTCAAAGTGATTTTCACCCCTGATAAAATTTAAGATAATTGGGCTAAACTGGACAGGGACACCCCATGGTTTTCACATCTCTTTGCCCTCTGTCACCACCAAAGGGCTATTTTCTATGCCTGCAGGTGTTCTATTCATCCCCAGATAATTGCCCTTTTACATCCTGGTAATGTGATATGAAGAGATGTTTATCTTGTCTTTTTGCTTGTGGTACTGGAAAAAGAAAGATTTATCTGAGGATCCGATCATTGGAAGTTTTTATTCTGCTTTCTGGAGAGTTTTCTAAATGATTCTTTTCAATGTTTTATTTATTTTTTTGAAATTTGTATTATTGTTTTTAAAATTTGTATTAGTATACGAGTTAAATTAATTTTTTTAAAACAAGCAAAATATCAAAATATTTTGAAAAATTGAAAAAACGAAAGAAACGTTGGTGTTGGTTGATTTTGCGCCTTTTTCAAATAATGCGCCCATGGCTCTAGCCATGCCTGCCATACCCTAGATACGCCACTGGAGCTATTTCCTCTCCTGTGGCTGAAAACTGTGACTGTTACTTATAGCAATGAAGTACTTCTACTCACGATACATGAAAAAATGCTCGCTCCCATCCGACCTGAAGAATTCGCTAATGAGATTTCAGACCTGTGAGTTAGAACTTGATTGGTGAAATATATTTACACGGTAGAATTAGGCAATCAGGTTCTCGTTATGCGATCAAGTTACCGCCTTTTTTTCACGCAAAGAGTAAATGGTCCATAAACTATTTCTGGTTACACGATGGTAAATAAGAATAATCATGGACATACTCATACAAGATGTAGGGGTGTGTATCTTTCTTGTTCACTTAGTGTATCTTTCTTGTTCACTTAGTTTAATGGGCCATTAACCCGCACTCGTTTTCCCTATAGGTCTGGGTAAATGCTTTGAAACATGTATGCCAGATCAACTATTCGCTCATACGTGAGTCACATTTGCGTTCGATTGCATATGTGTATTCTCAGTTCTTTATAGAAACAATTTCTCTCCATCGTGTGTTTTTTTTTAAATTTGAAAGGAAAAGTAATCTGCTGATTCTGTGATAAGCTGCTGCATCAACAGCGGTGCTAAATATTAAAACTTCACTATTTCATTTTTCAAAGGATGGCTGTTCTCGCTATATGCGAAAAATTCACATGCATATCAAAATTTGATTGGTGAAATTTTATCTGCGGAAAAATTCGCGAATCATGTTCTCGTTTGCGAGTAAAGAAAATATATACAAAGAAAACGATTCCTCAGTGCCTGTTTCAATTGGAGTTTAGTTGATTTTTTCTTCTTCTACAAATTACCCTCTTCATTTGGCAACGAAGCTCAATTGTTTGTTTTTGTTACTAAGGAAACTATGTTCTGTTAGGAGCGAGATTTATATTTTTAAAATGCCTTCTTTAGGTAAAAAATAATATTTCTGATATAGATTCATAGTTTTTATTTCGATGTTTAATTTTTCCAGGAACTGTATTTCTTTTCTTCTATACATTATAAACTATATGTTTAGTTTTGTACAGTATAGTATGTCAAGTATTGTACATTAAAGCAAGACACGATATCCTTTGTTTTATAATATTTTTTTCATCTAATGGATAAAATTTCTTCATCGTTATTTTGTGATAACTTTTTCATAAATTATTTATTTACCTTTATGGTGGTTTTGTGCATTTTAAAAAATTTATTTATATTTTTATGGTATGCTGTAGAGTGACAAGAAATGTCATTGAATTTGTAGCATATATACAATGGAATAACCAGTGTTAGTGAAACAACAGTCAATGATGCGTTGATAAAAGTCAACATTGAATAGTTATCAGTTGTGGTGAAAGGAAAAATACTTTGCTAAAAAATGGTTCTAGTGTTTATAAGCAAGGACAAGGAGAGTTCAATTACTAAAGAATTGGCAGAATGCACTACATTAATATTTGCACAAAATATTAAATACAATAATTTAAAGATTTTCAAAATATTCCCTACTTCATGAAATTATGACAATAGCTGACAAATATTGACAGTTATTTTATTGGCAGTAAAATTATTGAGTTTGTAATTCTGATGGATTATTTCTAATTGTTTCTCTGTCTTTACATAGTTATGAATTTTTGTTCTTATTAGACTTAACTGTTAAGCTTGGACTTAAAATAAAGCGGTCTGTTCCGTGACAGAGTGCTTTTGGAGCCCACTGTTGGAGCCATCGTTGTTTCATGGTTAACGATTGTTATGGCTTCTGAATTGACAAATGCCATGATTTTCCTATGATGACTTCACTTGCACCAAGAAGTATCCAATTTCTTGGTATGTTGAGTAAGACAACTGCTCTGTCATGGCAAATCACACCCTATTATGAAATTGTAAACAAAGGGAATAAAAATTATAGGAAACTCTAATTTGACCTGTAGCATCAATAGATCAATCCATTTGAATTTAATGATCAATTGAGTGTAAAAAAATTTAGACCAATGATGTTTTGGTAATTTTATTATAAAGGTACTGTAATTTTTCTATTTAGTTTTTGAAGATATGAACGAAATCAGGTATTCCAGGTGCATACTATATCAGATAACCTTGAATGATGTTTTGATTTTATACTTACAACAAAAAGCGTTCATCCACCATTATGTATTGATCTAAACCTACGACAATATCTGACACCTAAATTTCAATTTAGCTGTTAGATATTGTTATAGATATAGCTATTAGATAGTAAATTTCCAGAAATTAATGCAATTTGTGTTTGCAAATTTTCTAAAGGCACTCCACTATTTTCTTTTTCAGTTTCTTTCTAACAATTTTTCACATGCCACTGTTGAAATTTCATTGTGGTATATGGACCACTGGTGGTCAATCCTGGTGGAAATTCGGACTGTTTTGCGGCCGCTCTACAAAATTTAAATTCTCAAAAACGGCCCTCTCACAAAATTCTAATTTGTAAAAATGGTCCCTTCATAAAGTTCAAATTCCAAAATAAACCGCTGCTTGACTTTTGTAATATAATTTTTTAAGGTATGTATGTGATATCCTGTAGACAATTACCTCCAAATATTTATTTGATCAAGTAAGGAATAAAATCCATTTTTTAACTAAGCATTATAACAAAGTTTTTTTTTAGTATGTTATTAAATTACAACATACACTTATTTTGAAAAACTTTTTATATTTAAAATAAAATATAGTGGTTGCTACTGAATGTTTTTCAGTAAATAAGAAATTTTTCTCAAATATAATTTCCATTCTTCATGAAAATATTAGTTTTTTCTACGAAAATGGGCCATAAAAAAATGAAATCTGGATCAAGTCCTAGCTGCAGGTTGACCATTTATGCCTTATATATGTTGACATACCCATATTATGAAGTTTTATTTGCTACTTTTATGAAGTTTGATTTGTAACTTTTTTGTATTTGTTAGTATTAATTATTTACTGTAATATGTTAATCTTTTTAATTTGTTAACTTTAGGTTATTCTTTTGAAAATTTCCAAAGATTGGAAGATTTCCCATCTTACACTTCAGTTATCCGATGTTTTGGAAAACCTATTATTCCACCTTTGGTAAAGTCTTAATCTATCTAATTTTGCTTATAATGTGATATTCTGAGTTTGATTTTTGAGAGAACTTCAACTTGTATCGTTAATTAACTAAAAGTTTATTAATTTTAAATACTTACCAATTAAACCATTATATATAGCTATAATGTAAGAACTCTTTGGTTCATTGTGATATGGTGTTGTTCTTGTCAACACTTTGCCATTTTATGCCATGTACACAAAAATAGCCTTTTTATGTATAAGACTTAATATTAATAGCATTCAATAAGAAATTTTGGATATTTTTTACGTTAGCTGGGTGCAAGAAAAACGTCACCAAACAAATGTAAAACTCTATAAGATAAATTAATTGAACATTTCACTCATATCTCTAAATATCTGTTTGTTAAGACAAAAAGATATGTATTTTAGATAACTAATTTTGATATATCTAGAATCATCAACTGTTTCCTTTTCTTACTTAAAAACTTTAAAATAATTTGCGATGCAAATTTTGATTCTCCAGAACCATTCTTTTAAAACTTTTATGTATTTTGGATAACTTATTTTGATATATCTAGAATCATCAATTGTTTCCTTTTCTTATTTAAAAACTTTAAAATAATTCGCGATGCAAATTTTGATTCTCCAGAACCATTCTTTTAAAACTTTTATGTATTTTGGATAACTTATTTTGATATATCTAGAATCATCAACTGTTTCCTTTTCTTATTTAAAAACTTTAAAATAATTTGCCATGCAAATTTTGATTCTCCAGAACCATTCTTTTAAAACTTTTATGTATTTTGGATAACTTATTTTGATATATCTAGAATCATCAACTGTTTCCTTTTCTTATTTAAAAACTTTAAAATAATTTACAATGCAAATTTTGATTCTCCAGAACCATTGTTTTAAAACTTTTATGTATTTTGGATAACTTATTTTGATATATCTAGAATCATCAACTGTTTCCTTTTCTTACTTAAAAACTTTAAAATAATTTGCAATGCAAATTTTGATTCTCCAGAACCATTCTTTTAAAACTTTCATGTCACAACTATTTTTTTTAACAAGAAATTTTCTGGGTTTATTAATTACTCTTTTAAAATAATGTATGTATTGTGCTCTATTACTCTATTATAATATTACTCTATTATCTATTGTGCTCTATTAATAACTTTTCCTTTTTTTCACTTCACCCTGAAGAATTACAGAGTGAATGTGAAACATAGATGAATGCTATGATTGCATTTCAAATAAAGATTAAATAATACAGTAGAGTCCCGATTATCCGAGTTAATGGGGACGGCAACAAACTCGGATAACTGAAAAACTCGGTTAAAGCGAAGAGTATAAAAACGGAAAGAAAAAGAGAAGGTATAAATGTAATATATTTAAGAAATACAAAATGTATACGAGTATACCATACACAATTCATATTATAATTAAAAAGCTTACTTGAAAACATTTTAAAAGCATACTTTACGAGAATTAAATAGTTTTTACCTAAAAAAAGTCCTCAATCGTTTTTCGTTCTACGTAACTTTGGCGCTAGTAATGTTTCGCCTTTTTTAGGGATAACAGGAAGGCTGGTGTCGCCTCTTTTTGTTGTTCTATATATTCAATAGTACATTCGATAGCTTTTAGTCCATCTGTATGAGAGATTTTTATATGTTGATTTTAATAATCACTGTCTTCATCATCTTCGCTAGATTCATTATCATTATTGACGATATTAACGATAATTTCATCAGACCAAGTTGTTGGATTTTGTTTTTCTGAGTGTTTGGAAGATAAAATTCAGATTTATTTTTCAGCGGTTTTTTTAAAAATAAACTAGAACAAAAAAAATCCTTGAAATATTTGATAGCTCGGTTAAAGCGGAAACTCGGATAACCGGAACTCGGATAATCGGGACTCTACTGTATATAAAAAATTAGCTTATCAATTCTTCTTTTTAAGCTCTAGTCAATATTCTGCGTTTATACTCTTAGAATATTCTATGCCCAGTGTTCTCCCTGTGATCTTTCAGACCTGCCCTGTCTGCCCTTTGATCCCTATAATGGTGCCTTCTTTTGCCCTTTTAGTCGCCATCCCTTAAAAACACTGCCTTTTTATTCATGTTCCATTTAAAAAAAATTATTTGATGTTTAAATAATAATTATACGCTGGTTAACTTATATGTGTTTATAAGTTTAATTCTGATTATTATTGCAATTATTTATTTCGTTAGTATTATTTTTAACTGGTTAATTTTTTATAAGTTTCTTTTTTTTAGTAGGAGGTATATTAATGATTTTAAATTTTAAAATTATTTTTTAAATAAAAACCTTTTTTTTTTTTTTTTAAATCCTCTTTAAATGTTTTTTTTTCAATTTAAATTTTAGAAAAAGTTTTCAAGTTGTTTATCAATTAATTAATTATTTTCTTTTAGTTTACTTTTTTAAAAGAAAGAGATTATCTTTTAGTATGCTTTTAAATATTTTTTTATAAACTACGAATTTATCTCCTATTTCAATAATGAATGAGAATTACTTTTTGAACTATACACATAAAATAGTATAAGAGGGCAATTTAAAAATAATTTTTGAGGATCAAATTCAGTTGATACATAGTTTTTACACATTTTGATAAATTTTTACTGTGTTATGTGAGTGCCCTTTTAAAACTCAAAGTGCCTTTTTCTGCGAGTAAGCACCCTGTCCTTTTTTATTCATAGGGAGAACTCTGTATTCTATTATATGCTTCTAATATTCTAATTTATTCTGTTCTTCTAATTTTTTAAGAAATGGTTTAAGAAATGAAATGAAAATGATTTATATTTTAGTTTTGATAACCATTTCAAAATTTTGTGTTATTATTATTATTTTTGAAGGTTTGTGAAGAATTGACTTATTGATTTCTCTGTTTTGTTACTATAAACTCATATTAATATTTTATTCATAATTTCTTAAAATAGTTAACCAATGAAGAGAGAATAAAAATTGCTGAGCTTCGAACATCAGTTTCATTATTACAAGGGAAAAAGAGTTTAAATTTGCCTAAGAAGCCTGCTAATTTTTCTTGCTCACATGCTGCAGCAGAAACTAGTAAAGTATGACATATTTTTATTGAAACTGTAAATTATTTATAAGTAACTTTTTATTCCGTACTAGATTAATTTTCATGCAAAAAAATTATACTGCTGCTAATTATTATCGATCCACATACTTACTTATAAATAAAAAATAACTACTTCATTATATTTATCAGTTTTTGTGACATGTAGGAAAAATGTATTTAGTTAGACAGCTATTTACTTAGCTCGACAGAGTAATTCTTCTAAACTTATTAAATTCAAATAGACTGTGACTATTTGGTGTATGTCTTATAATAAATATTGTGTTGTAGTTGGAATGTGTGACTTTGTTAAAATAATAAATAATGAAGGTAAATAAATTTTGTTCTGAATAGATTTTCTTATAAGTTATTCTAATGAAACTCAAAAATAAAAGCTCATTCAAAATTAAATGAAAATATTTTATTTTCATTTCAAAATTTTTTTTTGTTCTTTGGGATATATTGAGAAAATTAATTTTTAAAATAGACCCTAAAAAGCCTAGGTTAACCAAGGAAACTACAAGCTGAGTAGTAACTGCCATCAAGTCAATGGAGCAAAGAATAGGAAATTTTTTAAATGATTGGGTTTTTTAAAAATTACTTTTAGAAATTATACTTGAGCCATTTATACTTGACCATTATTGAAATGTTATTGTTGTCTAACATTTTATGCATCAAAAATTCATTAATTTAAAGAAATTTTATAGAGCTTTCTTTTCATTACAGACACCACATAACTTCTCTAACAATATCGACATTTCATGTGAGAAATCTTGTAACCAAGACACCAGTGCTTCGAGCTTAAGTCCACAAAAAGTCCTTAAGACCACTGAAAATGAGTTATTTGTATCCATGAGTAAGATTCCCTGCAATGGTGTGTGTAGTACAGTTCATGATGGAGTAATCGTTTGTCCCAATGAAACTCCAGGAAATATTCATTATAGCAACAGTAATGAGTTTGAAAGTAGCTCCAATTCAGAATATTGGGAATCATGCAATGAAAATGGCTGTGATTGCCAAGAGTGCCAAATAAAAATTGCTGACACTGATGTGCCTTATAAAAATACATCTTCAGAACAAATGCATCATAGTGTTTCAGATGATGATCAGGAATCTGTAGCAGAAGAAGCTGATTTTGAATCTCTTCCTACAGTTATTTATAATCGGAAGATTCTACCCCAAGATACAGATTCTGAGAGTATTGTTACTTGTATGACGCAAAGTACAGACCTTGATAAATATATGGACTACTCCATTGAATATTCCAGCCCTGATGATAATGCAGGAATGTGCCAACATCAGTCATCTACACAAAGAAGTGCTTCTTCTAGATCTGATGATACTAGCACAGCAACTATCGTCAATACTGAAAGCGAGCTTACTCCTTGCGTGTCTGCTGTTGCAGAATTGCCCAGTTGTTTGGAAAGTTTGAGTGATATTGCTGATTCTTCCTCTATATTTGTACATGAAAATGCAGGAGCCACTTTTAATGCAAACTGTAAAAATCCCTCTATTTCCATGGGTGAAGACACAAGTTGTCGAGCATATTCGGTTGATAGTTATATGAAAATTCTCAAAACTTGTGCAAAGAACCTGTATTTAAAAAAATATCATAGTGAACCTTCACATCCAAATTCTAAACAATCTCATACTACTTCTGAGTGTCTAACAGATCAGATGAATAATTTGTCAGAAAATGAATCGGAAGTTTCTTTGCCTGATGAAACAGTAGAAGACACTAAAGCCTTCTGTGATGAAAATTCTTTTGGAACAGAAAATGTATTTGTAGACGATTCTGAGCAGACATCTGGTGACGCTCAAAGAAAACTCATCAGACGAAATTCTTATACTTTGTTACAGCCCTCATCAGCATTAATTATGGCTCATGCTAGCTGTTCTTGTCAAGAAGATTCTCTAATGGATGATTCCCCACATTCTTGTTCTTCAGCGCATCAGAATGAAAATTCAAATCCTGCATTTAAAAAAGAGACTGTTGTTCTTGTTCTTCCTTCAACTTCAGACAGAGAAACATTCTTGCCAATTTTACACAAGGAAGATCAAACAAAAGATCTTGCAATAAATGAATCCTTGTCACCATCAGATGTGAATTTAATTGATACCGAGAATTGCCATTTTGAAACTGAGGGTATGAAATACTCCAGTGCATCAGCATCAAGTGCAGTTTTTAAAGAAGTTGATAAAGATTCTTCTAATTTACCTCCAAATATAGTAGAGCCATATGCTGAATATGAAAACAAGGAAAATGGAAACAGTAGTAATGTTTCTGACAGTTTTCATGAGAGGTTGTTTGCATTCATTTATTCATTTTACTTTAGATTTTTTTTATTTTATTAGTTTGCACTAGTCTGGCAAATATAGAAAATGCCGTAATTCTCAAATGAGCAAATTCATCATTTAGGAATGTCACATTTGCAGACTTTAAAAGCATGAAACTCATGTTAAAAAAAATTCAAGCAATTCTAATAATTTTTTGTGAAAATGATTCTTGGTGTCATTTACTCCTATTTCAATTTTTAAAAATCTAAAATTTTTTTAACATTTAAAATCTAACTATTACGAATGTACATATTGTGCCTTGCCTGTAATACTCAGTTTTTAATTTTTAAAAATCTTTTAAAATTATCAAAGTTTCAAAAAATTAGAATAAGTGCAAATAAAACCAAGACTGATTTTCGCAAAAATTATTAGAACTGCTTGAATTTGTTGCAACATATTCTTTTAAAGTCTGCAAATTTCGCATTCCTGAATGGAAGAATTGTCCTACTATACATTTACTGAATGCCTTTCATTTAAAAGTCTTATTTCAATATAATGTTTTATTTTAAATGAAGTTCAGATGCAGGTTTAAAATGAAACATGAATAAATAGATGGACCTTTAATAGTAATTAGAAAATTAACTCTAATTTTGCATTGTTTTAGCTGTTCTACAATTCATATATTTATTATCCTTTAACTATTGCTTTGAATTATCTAGTATTTAACAGTTACATTCTTGATGATTTTTTGTTCAGAAAACATCTATTTTTAGTTAACTAAAATTAATTGCTAAAAATGTTTTCGAATTTACTACATTTCAATTTATAATTATTGATTTAGTACCTGACTGTGTTGCTAGTATGACATTCTTTTAAAAAGTTTTTTTTTTTTTTTAACAGAATGGATTTCTTTTTAGCTGAGTTTCACGATAAGTAAAAAGAAGGTAACAAGAAATTTACATTCAGATAATGCTTAAATTTCATGAAAAATTTGTAGCTGTTAAATGTTATGCTAAAAATTAAACAATTCTTTCGGTAAAACAAGTATTGGAATTTCATTTTATTATATTATTGATCACTCTTTTGGGTACAAATTTTTCCATTTTATATCATGAGTCACACTGAAAAAAACTATATGGTGAAATAATAGCTTAATTCCAGCTTTATAATAAAAAGGGATATATCTAAAAAGACTTACAGTCATGAAAATCATGGGTACCAACTCATGGTTTACCTTATATATGAATTATACACGATTAATTCCCACCACATGCATTTATTAAGGATAGTGGCCAAAATTAAAGTACAATACAGTAAAGTACAACTATTCTGTTTAAATCAAGCTACTATGTTCGCTACTTTTTGAAAAAAATAGTTTTGCGAGTAGTGCGATGCGAAGAAATGTTATTTTGTAGCAATTTCTTGTAACGTTTAATATTAGTTTAAAAAGGAAACAAGGTACAAATCCAAAATATTTTTTGAATTTCGTGCAAATCTTGTTTGAGTTTATCAGCGGATGTAATGAGGATGTTCTTGATGTACATACTTTACGTAGTTTTTTTCAGTTAACTTAAGCTTTAAACTCTAAAGGAAATCACAAACATTTGATGGTTTTCTTTTCTAGATTGTGAAATATATGTCCATTGGTTTGAAGGGCATAAAAAGATGAAGGTTTAATGGAAAAATTCTAAAAAAATGAATTAGTTTATTTATTATTTTAGAATATTTTTGGCAAATTTTTTTTAAGAAATTTTTTTTAAAATTTTGAACATGAGCGTAAATTAAATCATCCAGCAAAGTTCATCTCTTAGAAGTAGTTGAATATGTTACAGAAGTTGTTTGCAATTACTACATTAAAAAAAAATAGTTGTACTTAACTACATTTATAATAAAGTAGTTGTAGATAACTATAAAAAATGTAGTTTTTCTCAGTACTGATTAAGAACTTTATTTTCTACTTCCAGTTCCTCCTTGAATCAACAAAATATAGAAAAAAGCAATGGAACAGAACTTTTGGCCAAGCTTTTGGGCGACTTGAGAGAAAATCAACAGTTGGAAATGAAACGTTTTATTGAAGAACAAAAGAAGCACTTGTTGAGAATACAGGAAGAATTTCAAGAGCAAGAAAAAATTCTATTTGAAAACTTAAAATCAGCTGGAGTGCCTGTATTTGCATGTATGTTTTTTCCAGTTATGTTTTTAAATTTTAATGTGGCTTTGTGGCTAGTTATCATACTAGCTAAAATTATTTTTGCTTTAAAAATTTTAATTATCTGGTAAATGGGGAAATTGTGTTACGCTTTTTGAACAAAAAATAATTTAATTTTAAAAATCAAAAGTCATTTGAAAAGTTATGTGAGAAAATTGTACCTAGAAAAAAATGTGTGAGCCTTTATTTATGTGATATTTAGTTTTTGACACTCTTTTATAATGATACATTTAACTGAATTTGAAAATTAGTTATAATTTTATTTTTAAGCTTCTCTTAGTAAAATGACCTAAACTTAGATAATGTTTGCTTAATATTCAAAATAAAAGAGGAAACTAGAAATCAGATTAGAAAAAAAAATTATTGATTTTCATTTATATAGTTAGTTGAAAATTAATACCCCTGAATAAAAATTTCAAATTAAAATCAACTTTATTAATGAATTAGTGCTCATCTTCAAAATTAATAGTAGTCTGTTGAAATTAAAATTTGACTCAGTTCATCAATTAATTATTAATAATCCTATATGCCAGCAATCAATGTAAAAGAATTGCATCCTGTTTGGAATTATTTTCAAATGCTGATTATTATTTATAGCTATCAACAGTTCATCATCACCTGCTGATGACATTGTTAACACACAAATGGCATCTTCTGATTCAAATTCAACCAATTTATCATCTGAAACTGAGACATTTCAAACAGTTATTCAAAATGAAATTCATCAAAAAAGTCCTCCATCTACATTGGCAGTCACTGAACATGATACTATATGTAATCCCATTTCTCAAGTTAATGATATCTTAACTACCTCTAAAAGTAATGAGGCAACTTATTTGAACCAACATCAAACTAATGAAACAACTTATTCTACTCAGCATCAAACTAATGAAGCAACATATTCAACTTCACATCAAGTGAATGAAGCAACTTATTCAACTCCACATCAAATAAATGAAGTAACTTATTCAACGCAGCATCAAACCAATGATGCTTTGTATTCAACTCAGCATCAAACCAATGAAGCTGCTTATTCAACTAATCATCGGAAAATAGGAGAAAAGAATGTTGTCCAAAACACATTGTCGAATTTCAAACAAATTTGCATTGAACCTCTTGGGAGTGAGTTATACGAAACCGATTACAATTCATGTGCTGCTAGTCAGCTTCCTACTTGCACATTTGAAAATATTACCAACTTTCATCAGGTTCCGGTTTCTACATTTATTAGGAATGATATTGGAGATATGACTGCACCAATTTGTAGTGCAAACTTAAGAAATACCTGTACTAAAGAAAAATATTCTCCAATTAAATTAACTAACAAAATTCATTCTCCTAAACTGGTAAATAAGCTTTCAACCCAATCTACTAAGCATCCTAGTACACATTGCTCTGGTGGAGCAACTTATAACTCCAGTAGACCACCTTATAATTCTGTCGGAGCATGCGTTTCTAATGAAAGCGTTAGGGTTAAGAATAATTTTGAAAAACGAGTCAACCAGCATCCGGCAAGTAATCTTGAAATAAGTAAAAATAATGGCTTCCAAGTAAATGAAGTTACAGGGGTTTGTAACAAAATTAAAAGAAGTAATGTTGATTCTAATAATGTTACTTCATCTGCAAGTGCTAGATGTGATGGCAGAAATTCTTTAGAGCCAAGTTTGGGTTATTCTAATTCAAGCAAAATGAACATTAGTAACTGTGCCTCTGCTGACTTCTATCCGCAAGCTTCGAAAAACATCACTGTTCAAAAATCTATTAATTCTATTAATCCACTTATCTCGGTTAAAGCAATGAAACTTGTCCCACCATCTTTAACAAATTTGAAGAGGAAGCAAAGTAAAAATGTAAGTTTTTTAAAAATTTTATTTAATGAACCAATTCTTTTTTTTAAAAATTTAACTTTTTATAGGGCCATATTTTTGGTAATGTTATGTTAAAATATTTTTATGACTGAGTTTTCTTCACAAAAAAGAAATCATTTGGTTAAAAATCTAAAATTAGTTATTTAAAATCATTTTTGAGGGGGGAAGGAAGGTGGATGAGATTTTTAAAATTTTACCTTCGGTAATGAATCGGTCATATTTTCTGTTAGAACTTCTGTTTTTATAAATATATGAGTTTATAAATTCAATGTTTAAAACAATAGTTTTTTTTTCTTTTTGGAAAAAAATTATTTTATTAAATTAAAAAAAAAGAGTCTTTTTCGAATAAAGTTTTGTCATTCTCTAAAAAAAGTTGCTTGTATTTAATGAGTAAAAGTAAAAAATATAAATAATTAAAATGTAAAAACACAGGTTTTAAAGTGAAATTTTTCTTTTTTAAATAACAAAGAAAGAAAAAAGATATTTTGTCCAATGATAAAAAAAGAATAGGGTAGGGAGGAATTTTTATGTATAATTGTTGTTAAATAAAAATATTTATTAACGTTTAATTCTTTAATTCATTGTTTTTAATATTTGTTATTATTCTGCATTAAAAATTGTAGAAATTATTAACTTATTTTTAACGACTTTTGTCTGTGTGTAAAAAAATACTTATTTACACAGTTAAATGATCCAGAAATGCTAAAAAGATTTGAAAGGCTTCCAGCTCTTGTTAAAGGATATCTTACAAGACGGTTATATAAAACTGAAAGAGTGCAAAGATTGATTCAGACAATGAAGGTAACAAATAAAATTTAATTTATATTTCAATAAAGTTATAATTTTTGTTCTGTTTTCCTATTGTATTTTCATATCTGTTGGAAATTACAATTTTATTTTATAATTTTTTCAATTAGTTACTTATAGATTAAAAGGTTTCACTTTTTTTCCATTAAAAGTTTTCATGAATCTGCATGATAACTAACAAAATATTGAGAAATAAGTTGTTATCCAATTTCTTTTTTTTTATTGTTACAATTTAAAAGTAAATGTAGAAAAATACAATGTAGGCAACAATTAATACAGTTCTTTCCTAACAGGTAGAAAACTTGGGAATAATTTTCTTAATGTACTTTTGTAATAATTGCCACAAACTAATTTTTTGTGGCAATAACTTCAGAAATAATGTGTGCTATAAATGAAAGTTGTAAAGTGACTAAATTTCAGAAAGCTTGAAAATTTATAAATCCATAAATATTTTCACTTATACTATTTAAAAATTGATACAGTTACCAGTCCTGTTTGAAACTGAATTTTGTTCAAGACATAGTTTGCCCACAGTATTTATTTTAAGATATATATCAGCCTATATTTTTGTGAAAGAGTAAGGAGTCCTATGGCTAATAAAACTTTTTTTTTACAATTATCATTTTTTGAAACATAAAGCTATCTGAGAGCTATGCTAAAAAGCTATGCTTTGTTTGCTCTACTACAAAGTGATACTATAATTTGGCTTGTAGTATGAAATCTACTTAATATAACAATATTTTGAATGGATTTATTTGTACTGTCTTCTATATATTTTGAATAGTTTCCTTTATTCCTTAAATCCTTAATCCTTTTATAATCCTTTTATTCCTTATTAAAATAATGTGCCTAATTTTTCATTTCAAAATTGTGTGTGAGTACATTAAGTCCTTTACAATGTTATCAAGACATGTTATACGTGTGTGTTTGAAATGTTCTGAATACAATTTATGCATTTTGAATGACAAATTATTATGTTTTTTTCTTTGTATAAAATTATATTAATAGTATATAATTGTATTAGTAGTCAGAATAGTGTTCCTAATTTTTTTATATCAAAATTAATTACAAATGTATATGTCAATATATGTTATAAAGTCAATAATTCACCTGGATATGCATCCATACATTTTTAATGACAAATCTTTTGATGCATATTTTCCTTACATTAAAATAATTTAAATAGTTTATTCTTTTATCCTTTGCTAAAATATTTTTTTATAATGAAGCTGCTAATATATTTGATTACTTTAGAAGGTTAAAATATCTTTGAAGGAATGTGAGTGTATTTAGAAACTTACAGTACACATTTGATGCCTTTTAAAGGAAGAGTTTTTTTAATGCATTATATGGATATTTTGATTGAGTTTTATTAAATTTAATATATATTAACAATAATCAAATTTTGAACTAATATTCTTTTAATGTTTTTCAATTTAAGGAAACTGCTAAGTTAGCACAAAATCTCTCTGAAGATTTGACACAAAAAGGTAATACAATTTCTGAGAGCGATATGGATTTGTATAACCAGCTATTGGCTCAGGTATGTAGGAATTAAAAATTATGTATCCTTATTCTAAATGTATCCTGATAATCTTTGATTTATTCATGATTTTTGAACAGTTAATGCATACAAATATATTTCTTATGTGTTATTAATTGTTTTAAAAAGAGTGAAATAATGATAGAATATGTGCCATTATTTTTGAATGTGGAATAAGTTCATTTGGTGTAATAAGTCCTAGGCTTTTAAGGGTTACTGTTTTGATTGAATTTAAAAGTATTGGCAAAGGTTAATTAATTTGGTGATTTTTTTATTACTATGTGGCATTTCCTGAAACATCAAAATGCTACAATTATTATTAAAATAAATAAGTAATATGAATAAATAATTAATAAATAAAGTAATAAGTAGTATAAATAAATAAATAAGTAAAAAACTTTTTATCTCTAAATGAGCTTATTCCAATTAAAAAAACACAAAAACAACTAATATGTTTAAAATGAAATGCATTTGCTTACTTGGGACTTTTGCGACTTTTTCGTAATTTTACGAAAATGTTTCAGTTTTTATAATTTTCCATGCGTGAATCATTTTTTGCATTTTTATAAAAAAAAAGAGAAATTTTAGCTAATTTTTCCCATTTAGGGCAATTTACACGAAATTCTAGCTATCTTTTGCCAACTGTACATTTATTATTAGAAATTTTTAACTTGCAGAATTTTTATGTAGTAACTTTTTTGAATTCTGTTAATAATCATTCAAAAGAAAATAATTAAAATCAACCTAATGTTTTTTTTAAATATTTGACTTGTTTCTGAGTAAAAAAATGATTCAAATAATTTTTTTTTTAATTCTTTGATTAAATATTGGAATTAGCTATTAGAAGGCCATTATGTTTGATAGATCTTGATAAAAGAATCATATTGAAAGAGCTGTATCTCATAACAGTTTGAAGTTTTCTAAACGTTAAGTATTTATGGGCTTCACCATTAAGGAACAATAGTTTTCGGAATTGAAATCACCTTATCTGTGTGCTATTTTCAACTTAGTCTACAAATTTAAATATAGTCTTATCATAATGATTTATAATTTTTTTTATTTATTATTATTTTTTAATATTTAAGAAAAAAATTCATTGTTATTATAAGTATATGATTTTGTTATTGGTTTATTTATAGTTGCTTTCATCTTTTGAAGATGTCTATGATATTTTTTGTACAATAAGTACGAAGGAAAGAATGAATATTATCGCAGAATCTCGAGAGCTTTGGGTAAGAAAGAAAAAGGCAGAACAATCGTCGGAATCTTCTAACACCTCTTTGGTAAACCCCTGTGTATTATTTAAGAGTATTTAAGGTTTTTATGTTTTTTAATTATTCAAATTGTATATATAGACACACGTAATTTTTCTGTTTCTTAGTATGTAACTCATTTAGTAGTGTAGAAATATGTATTGTATTGCTGTTTAAGAAATAGTTTTTTGATTTTTCTTAAATATAATAAGAAGCAATCAATTGTTTCTAAATAAACTTTAAGATAGAATTTGTATCTATTAAGTTGCGAATTTTATTCGTATTTAATTTTAATTCAAAATCCTATCTCATATTCTCCTTTTTTTCTATATTTTCCTTAATTTCTCCTCTTTCAATCATCAGACAACTAGTTATAAGTATATTTTTTTTTTTGCACTAATGATTTATCCTTTCATTTTCTTTAAACAGTGTAGGATAAAGTTAGGGAATTTTATCAATATTGAAAAATATGTAAATTACACTCAAATATCTGAAAAGAGAATTGGGTATACTTTGTGCTATGTAGATCTGAGGATTAAAACAATGCAAATACACAAATAGATGTGCAGAAATGGACGTACTAGAGTTTCCGTTCTGTAAACAAGAACCTTCCTCAGTGTCTCAACACCAGCTGATAGTAGAAAAGTAAAGTAAGACAAACATAGGGGAAGTGGTTTTACCTGTAGGAACAGAGGACTAAGTGTGTACAACATAATATAAGAAGGAGATAAGAAAACATTGAAAAAGATATAAGAAAGGGTTGAGAAAGAGATGGGGTCTCTCGGAAACTTCAGGGTGCAAAAAAGTCCATTAGAATAAATTTCCAGGTTTTGAGAAAAAATGAGTTCCTAGAGTGATCATTAAATTATAATTTATTCTCATTATTATAATTTTTCCAAATATAGAGCAATTCCTAGAAATCAAGGTGTAGAATGATTTTAGCAGTAACAAACTAAATTCTGACCATGTAGACTGATTGAAAAGCCTTAACCACCTTGATCTCCTGACTCACAGTGGATTCTTTTGTTACTTGATTCTTTTATTCGACTTGGAAGTCTAATAAAAGACTGTAGTCCCAAACTTTTATTAGACTTGAAATCTTCATTAACTTACGACACCCTTCATTTCAAACTGTCGTATCTAAGTTGCACACTTAACTTAATACACTTAACTTAATACACTTAACTTAATACACTTAAAGAATCCTTATTACATGCTATCAAGTTCAATTGATGTGAATAAAAGACAAGGCAAGAAAATTGTTTTTTTTTTTAGTATTTATTTAAAAAATATAAATGAAAATGTTCCTTGAATTATGCTTTTTTAATTATTCAATAATTTCTTCTCATTACTGCAATTAAAGATTTTGAAATAGCATGCATGGGATAAATTAACAAATTATTATTATTTTTTTAAAAATAATTTTTTATCAGCTCGAATGTCGCATAATTCATCTGCATTTCATAAGGATATATATGTTATAATTATCTATGAATTTCACATGTAGCAATGGAAAAGTAGTCTTTATTTTTTTTTTAGATACATGTCACTACAAGAACTAATTATTGTATAACAGTATCTGAAAATCACATTAATGGATCAGATGTTATAACTTATCACTTTTTTGCAAAATAAATAATCAACTTTGAAAACTGTAAAGTTTTTACAACAGTTTCTGCTTTAAGTGTTTCAATAGAAATAAGCATGATTTTTATCATAAAATTTCAAAATAAATTAATAAATAAATACATTTTCTCCTTTAAGGTTATGGATAGACCTTTGTCAGTACCAGCACATAAGCCAAAGGTTACGGCAGCAACTATTAAAAGAAGAAAAAGGTTGATGAAACAAAATTTATTTTTCTGTTTGTGTTTTAGTTATTAAATGTATAAAATTATATAAATTTTTTTTAAATGTGTTTCAGTTATAAATATATAATGTAGGGTTTGATATAACTTAAATTTTCAATCCTAAATTCAATAAATAAAGATTATTTCCACTGCATTATTTCTTTTATAAAACTATTTGTATTTTTTTAAAATATAATTTTTTTTTCTTTTTAAATTAATGAAGTTTTTTTTTAAACTATAAAATTATTTCTGATATTTTTTGTGCCATTGCTATTTATAAGAAAAGGTTTATCATAGCTGATAGAAATGATGTATGGTAGTCAGTTTTGTAGAAATTGTGTTTCAACTGCACATTAGTTATTGACAAGACAGTAGGCTGATAGAATAGTCAGTTCATTTTATTCTAGTTATTATTATTATGAAAATCTGGTTTATAAGTTAAAGAATTTTTTCTATCATCATGAATTTTTTAATTAGTATGCAAAATAAGTAATGCTGAAAGCTTGTTTATTCTCAAATATAATATTTCATTCTTAAATTTCTTCAAAAATTGAAGTTTTATCTCAATTTTCTAAATTTTTTCTCCTGTAATTTTGTGTCACTTTCTAAAGAGTGCTTATCAAAGTTTGTTCACCAAGAAATATATATATAACTTGGCATGAAATTTTAGTTCTAAAGGTACTTTGCTTGTCCCAATTTGCACAAATATTACAACAATTTTTTAAATGTTAACTGGTGTAGTGATAAAAACAATAAAAAAAGCAGAAACTGTAAAATTTCTGTATTTTTTTTTCTTTTGTAAACATACAATTTTATAAGCACATTATTTTATGAAAAGTACTAATCTTTCCAATAAATTTAATTCACCCAATTCATGATGTTTTTCTGTGATAATTTTTAAGATTTATGTCAAATTTTATGAATCATAAATACAGTAAATATTAATATCATTTATGTTGAATAATATTTTGTAAATAATATTATGTTGAATAACAAACCAAAACTAATTGTTAATAAGTTTTGTAAAAAAATAAGTAAAAAATAAATAAAAAATTTGTAAAAACTAAAGTAAAAAAATTATTAAAAGAAGTTAAATAAACATTCTTTTTCTCTTTTTTTTATTAAATGTATTAAAGTTTATTAGGAATAAGGCAATAATAACATGAATAAAGGATAAAAAATTTGTACTTTATTTACGTTGTTTTTTGTTTTATTCATACATAGGATGAAGCGTGCCCTATGTTGTTGCTGCTATTTCAGTGTTGCCTTCACACGGTCTTTATTGTTGTTAACAAAACCTAATTCATTTGCTCTGTAGCATTCATTTTTAAAGTCTGAAAAGTAGAATTAACCCCTTGGGGACGGGTGATTCTGAAAAGCATTTGTACAAAATCAGAATGTAATTAAATAAAAAACGCTAACTTAAATGTAGTCGTTGCTAATTTGACAGACTTACTTTGCTTTTACTTTACTTATTGTTAGTTTAATCATATATATAATCAATGTTAATTCAAAGTATAACTCAATAGTTTTATTTTGAACTAAAGTAACGGTGAATTAAATAAATCAAACAATTATAACTCCCTCCGCCCACAAATAAACTGTTAAAGAATTACTTTGATTACCAGTTTTATCTTTTTACCCAGATTGATACGGCTTTATGCTGGCACGTATTTGTGACAGTCGGAGCGAAAGGGTTAAGGAAAATTTAAATTTTCGGTTAATAGTTTATTGTTAATATTTATCAAGCAAACTTGAAATCCTTTTAATAATTTTCCTTATTTTTATTTTTTTATCTTTCATAATTAGAAGATTGTTTTATTAGTTTGCTTTATCGTATGTAACTTACATAATAGTAATTATTTATTAATTATATTTTCCGAAAAAATATTACTCTAATATTTGTTTTAATTTTATATAGATCTCTGGTTGATAGCAGAACCCATGCAATATCTGATTTTAGAGAGCATCGAACAAGGTGTGACTTTATGAATATTGCAGTTATTGCTATTTGTTAATTTTTCTTGTCGGAAAAAAATAGTTTTTTTATTAATGATTACTTTTTTTATTGAAATGGATTGCTTTCAATTCATTTATTTATACTAAATGTGGTACATTTGTTGTCTGTTATTGAATGAAATGTATTTTATGTTGTTACATAACATTTTTAAGGGTGGTAGTATTTAATTTTTATTTTTTAATGTTTTATTATGCTACATTAAGAATTTCAGTTTTATTCTAAAATAATTATGTAATTTATCTTTAATATAAGTTATTAAGGCAAATTTTCTCTTTTTTCGCTTTTTTAGAAAATAAGATCCTACATCAAATATCTTGCATAATTAATCTTATAAAAAAAATCTTACATCCAATGCAAGATTCAAAGAAGACTGATTAAATTAAAGTTCGAGTACTAATTCGAAAATTTAGATCAACCTGAGGAAAAGCAAATGCCCTATTGCTTTAGTAGGGTTGCCAATTTCCACAAAATTTTGAAACTCAACCCAACTCTCTAAATGTGTCATTTGCTCCATAAATGTTGATACATTTCTTCAAAATAATATTTTTGATGTTTAATTCATGAAAAAAATTAAATCATTGCTTTTATATTAAAAAAAGAAAAATGATTTAAAACAAAAGAAAAATATCTAAATTTAAAAATTCTCATTTTTAACAAAATAAAACATTTTTTCCCTTTTTCAAGAAAGCATTGCTCTTCTATTGGTCTATCTCTACTCTAAACGCGAAAATGGTAAGAGATGTACAGAACATGTGTGCACCTTGATGTCAAAGAAAAATCTTGAATCTTGGCAAAGTACCAAATATATATACAGTAAAACCTGCAGGAAAGACCATCTCTATGTAGCGACCTCCTCTATTTACGACCACTTTTAGGAGGAATGGAATTTTTTTCATAGACTTTGTGTTAATGAAAACCTTTAGGAGGGACCATCAAAATCCCTCACTGTGACTGGACAAACCTATGCACCAAATGCAGACAAAAGTCAAATAAGAAAACACGAAAAAATTAAAAAACAAAAAATATTAATAAAACAAATAAGTAGATTAAATTACATTCAAAATATTAGTGTGAGGCTCTTATTTAGAGAGCTCTGAAAGCAATCTGCAACCTCATGTTGCAGTGGAAGTGCACTACAGATAATGTTATCAATGATCTGATCAAGCAAATTAAATAATTTAATATTTAGTAAGCATTTATGAACTTTTATGATTTTTTCATGCACCCGTTTTTTATTAACACTCTATTATAAGTAAAAATGTTGCGGTCTTTTAGCACTTTTCATAAGTAAGTTTGACTATATTGTCATTTTTAAAGATGAATTATAGTACATTTTATCACAAGCACATTTAAAACTCCGTTATTTTATTTTAGTGTTTTGTTTTCTTCATTTAGTTTATATATCAGTTTTATTATTTAATTTACTGTAATTTGTGTTTCATTTTTCGATATTGTGATAAGTTTTCTTAATTTTTATCATTTTAAAACAAAAATGGTTCCTAAATTCTTTTTCGCATTCAATTGTCAAATATTTTTCATTACACATATTAATCATATTTCATAAAATAATGTTTATTTCAGAGCTTGTTCAGTTTCATCTTTAAAATCTAATTCAGTTTCTCCATCTCGCATTTATCAAACATCACTTGGTGTCAATGTCAGCCGCAAAACTAAAAGTATGTAACTTTTTTATTAACTTTTTTAATGTATACTTTCATTTCTATTATTATTATTTTTTTTAAATTTTTGACATTTTTAAATTTTGACAAAATTATTTCTTTGATTAAAAATGTAGTCTGAGCACATGTTATTATTTAAAACCTTTGCAAGTATTCAAGTTCTCATTATCACAATAAAAGTTTTGATACTGCATTCTGTGAACAATTTGCCTAGCTCTCCAATTTGTCACCAAATCATTAACTTATAATGTAATAACTATTTCTTAAACTATTAGAACACAGTTTTCGACATTAATTATTAGAAAATATAAAGTTAGATTAATTTAGAGAAATTTAAAATACTGGTTTAAATGAGCATGAACTGTCAGTCCCTTCTGGGAAGGTTAGGTCCAGCCAGTTGATGACATGACATTTTTGGTGTCATGACATTTGACATCATGACTAGCAGTCACATCATGACATTTTTGGTGTCATGACATCATGACTAGCAGTCTATGACATTTTTAGTAATGGGTCACTGCATGGTTCTCAATCTTTATGATGCCCTTTTCTCATTTTTTATTATGTACAATTCTCAAACTGTATGAGTTGTATTTAATTATATGTAATTGATTATTTGTAATTTTGAAGAGACATGTAGGAGTTAAATTTATTTGTTGTTGTTGACGTATGCCTGTTTTAGGCAGAGGGGGTGCAATTTTTCTTGTTTTCCTGTGACGCCATCTATGGCCAAGAATTCGACTTCTGCCCCACTCATACGTCACACCCGTTTATAGGGCGGACCCATTCATACATCCATCTACAGATCATAATTTTGACCTGAATCAGAGAACAATCGATCTCCAATCCAATACCCCCAGAGGTTTTGATTTGTTATGGGAACGTGGGGGACTTTTGCGACTCAACAGACTTAATGTGCATCAGTCACTTTACTACACGACGAGTCTTCGGCCGGTGGGGTTCGAATCCACAAACTCTCGGGCACGAGCCCAGCGCCTTACCGACCAGGCTCTCCCGGGCCATTAAATTTGTTTTATGGTTTTATTTGAAAACTGTATAGCCTAGATTTTTTCAAAATATTCACTTTTATTATGACCCTCAAATTTTTAAATACAAAACTGTGAGCACTACCGTTTTTTTTTTTTAAATTTTTTTTTTCTTCTGACAGAAATGAATGAATACAAATATCTCTTTTTGCAGAGACAATATGCAACACTATCTTCAAAAATCTTAATTCGACTGTGACTTGGATGCAGTGAGGCAAAGATTATTATTCTAAAAATTAAGCCTAATCTAACATATATTTGGCATAATTTGTAGATTTTAATTATAATAGAATAAAGTTATACACAAAAACTCTATGTTGTTTAAATTTAATTAGAATTTTATACAATTATACTTCAGCTTTGGCGAAAAAGAGAAAAAAAATGAATGCTTATATTTAGCTCAATACAGAAACCAGAAGGAGAAGTTGAACTTGAAGTGGATAATATTAAAATAAAATTTTTTCATTTGTAAGGAAGAAGTAAACATTACTGTTATTTAGGATGCCCTGATTTGTGTATATTTAAAGTTTCTTCGAATGAAATTCCTTATCACATCAGAGATGCCAACTGCTCCGGACAATCCAAAATAATTTAAAAAACGGTAAATAGCTGCAAAGTATATTTTGCTTATATTTGATTATTTTTCTTACTTTTTTAAAGATATTGCATAATATAGTATTATAAAGTGGTAAAATTATATAAGCCTAAGAATTATTTAGAAATAGTGGTGGATAAAAATCTACTAAATTGAATTTATTAAACCAAGAATCACAATTGATAAACTACCACTTTAAAATATATATTTGCTGTCCGGAGCAAGTTGGCATCTCTGTCACATCATTACAGATGCTTTCCGGATAAATAAAACAATAACCAGTATGAACATCAAATAAGTCTTTTTTTTTTCGGATGCCAAATTTTAAATAAAACGAAAGCTATTCCTTATTTTCTCAGGTAGAAAAATCTTTTCTCTTTCGTTTTATCTTTAATATTTTCTCGCTTTCAATATTTACTGCTCAAAATTTTCTTTTTTTAAAAAAAAAAAATCAGGGGTGGAAAATAACTTTTAGACACTGTGATAATCTGCAGCACCCACTGCCATTCCTGGGGGGTTTCTTCTGCCAGACAAATATCTATAAAAATGGCTCTGTAGATCATTACAGAGGTTTCTGATTTTGGGTTTTTCAGTATGTTTACTATAAACAAGTGTATTTTGAGGAACTTTTTTTTTTAAAAAAAAACTTCTTTATTGCTTAAGTTATCATTTTTATTGCATAAAATCTTTTTTTATGCATGTTTGTTATTGCTCATTAATTATAATTATTATTTTAATATTGTATTTTGTAGAATGTATGAAACCTTCTCAAACTCAGCATTGGAAATAAGGAATGTCCTTGTAGATCAAGTGCCTGTAATGAAAAGAATATAAAACATACTCTGTTCTATTTTTTAAATTGAAGCTAACACTCAAAATGCAATAAGTTGTATTTTTCTCTTTGTGTTTTGTCTTCTATTTTGTATTGTTGTGTTAAACAAAGGGAATCAAATATATTTATTTAACTCAAATGTTTTAGATACATGTAAATTTTGAGACTGTTTTACTGTTTGTGAGATAAATAAAAACTTTCTATATTAGTGTATTCTTTTATATTTTACATATCATTTTGATGTACCTCAATTTCAAAATATTTGATTATTATAAAAGTGATTGAAACTACAAGCTTTAGAATGTATGGAATTGACTTTTTTTTTTATATATATTGATTATTTTTTTAATAACCTAAGTTTTACTAGTAAAAAATGTTTTTTTTTCTTCCTTTCTTTCATGAAGCTTTATTTACAGGGAATTTTGCTGTAAAATATTTTTTCTTTTTTTTTTCACAAGTAGCTTAAGTTTTTTTTCGAAACAGAAAAAAATTCAAATCTAACCTTATTTCTTAGTAAGCTAGATTGTCAAAAAAAAAATGGCTTGAATACATAATTATTTTATGTATATTTATGTTTTAGGTGTATTTTTTTTATTTCATAAAATCTATATTTTACACTCTTAAATTGTATAATTCAAAATTTTGACATATAAATATTTAAAAAATTTCCTACATATGAATAAAATTTGGAACATAATTTTTTATATAATTCAGTAGAAAATGCAATTTTAAGTGTAGTATATGTTTTTGAATAACAATGAATTTTAATATCAGAAACCTTTTAATTTTTAATTGAAAGTAATCTGTATGTGTACTGAGAAAACTTGATTTTCTAATACTACTTCATATTAACTAAACCTTCTAATTTTAATAATTCCTTGTAACTTATGGGATAAGAATTATTGTTATAGAAATAATTTTCAACCAAGCTTTGAAAATAATTCAGGAAAACGGCGCAGGAATAAGGTTAATCCAGACTGTTGGTAAGAGCCATCCAAATAAAATTAAAAAAGGAAATAGGTTTATAGAAACGATCCGTCATTCCCGCACTTTTTAGAGAGGTTCCAAGAGAAATACTTGATCTATTACTGTATAGTAGTATTTACTTTAACTGTATAGTTTTACTTGTTAAGGTTCTACTGTATAGTTTTTACTACGTTATTCATGACACAGTAGTAGAGGATAAGTGTTGCTCTTGCGATCAGCTCTTATAATAATTGTTATCTATAGTAGAATAAAAAAAATTCAAAATAATAATTAATTATCCTTTTAAAAAAATTATATTTAGAAGCATTTATTCGGATGTAATTTTGTTGAATTATATGTTTTACCTTTTCCACTCCTCTGGGACTAATATGATTGTATGATCATGAAATTTCTGATCTTAGATAGCGAGAGACTGATCTAAGTGTTTTTGGCAACTTTATTGGAGGAAAAGCTTTTTTGTCTAAAATTTTGTAGAGATTGGAGAAAGTAATAATAGTAGTGCATTCCAACCAAGCTTTTGGCTAGTTACCTTTACTTGCATGGTGTATTGTATATGCAGAGATCCCAACTGCTCCGGACGCGCCATAATAATTTAAAAATCGGTTACAAACTAAAATTTGAAAATATTTGACTAATTTGGCTTACTTTTTAAATGCTGCATGACTTAACACTAACGAAGTGGCGAATTATATAAGCCTTGAAATTTAGAAATAGTGGTGTATAAAAACTTAATAAATTGAATTTATTAAACCAAGAATCTCACATTAATAAACTGCCACTAGAAAATATTTATTTGCTGTCCGGAGCAAGTTAGCATCTCTGTATATGCTCTTTATTTGATCAATTTTGGTCTTTTCTGTTTGAATGAATCATTTGATTTGTTCAGTGATGATTTACACTTCAGATTAGTCCCTAGTATTTGTTCTGTAGAGGCTATAACAAACATTGATTTTTTTTCTTTAAAAACCCAAATTAAAAATTTCTATTTTTAATAAAGCACCAAACAACAAGAGTTATTGTGCAGAATCAAACAAACTTTTCATAATCAAGCTTTGTTATATCAGCTCTCTAGATATTTAGAATAATCGAATTATACAAATTGGATCATGTCAGATCGAAAAAATTAAAATAGATGTGTTTGATATTTAAAAAAAAAAAAATCGATCTAATCATACCAAACACAACAGCCCCCAGAGGTTGCACCATCCCCTGAGGTGAGTGTTGATATTGGTTTTAAAATGGCACCACTATAAACACGTCGGTTTAATTTTTTGATTTGGCATATATTTCTCGAGATAACTCCATTTTAAACTGTTTGCATCCTATTTTCATTTTAAAATTACAGAGCCATTTATGAGCTCAAATGCTTTACTTGTAGGTTCAATAAATCAGGGGGTTTATTTTCTGAGGAATCCAAATATGCAATAAACAAAATGGTGGTTTCTATTTTTTTTTTTTTTGAAGTGACCACCACACCTACGGGGGGGAAGTTAAGTGGTATGACTGAATGCATCTTAAAATACTTCACTTGCATATTCAGCTGGTGTGCATTTTTTTCAGATATTTGTTCGTTTCTGAATGGTGCACATCCTGTATGGTGACAACAGGGCTTAACTGAGAAAATGGCCGTGAAAATCACAATTAAGTACTCTGTTTTGAAAAAAAAAAGAAATTAAAGCCTTCAAAGCAATTCAATTACCCAAGTTTTATAAATTTCAGCGGTAGCCACTTGTTGCTTATGTCTTGTATGAGTAGGCTTAAAGAGTAAAATTGACCATTTGGACTTAAAATAATTGCAGTAACTAATTAAATCACTTTGCTAGAAATTTAAAACTAGAAAATTAAATTTTACTAGAAATTTTAATAAAATTTTACTAGAAAATTAAACTACTTTACTAGAAATAATGCATTAAAAATTTTTTTTCCATATCTTGTGGCCTAACTTACTAAACACTATGTTAAACCACTTGTGTTGGCAAGTAACTCAGATGCGCTTACAGAAACAACTACAATTATTTTTTAAATGAAAAGTTAAAAGTGTTCCATGTCTTGTAGATATCGGAGCAATAATTTCTGTGATGCAAACCACGGATACTTTTTTTAATTTTGAAGTAACTGAATGTTAGGTTGTTCAGCAAGTCATTGGCGATTTATAACTGAAGCATTACGTGTGCTGCAAGTCTTTCTAACACGAGTGGTTAAAAGTTGTGACATTGAGAAAGTTTTCTATTTGATGTGTAGCACTGTGCTGATCTAGACTCACTTCTGGAGGTCTATATTGTCGCCCTTAGGAAGGAGGCAGAATCTCTATAAATAAAGTTTAAGGATAATGCAGATTTTGATAAGCAGAGCTAAGCCACTTTGAAGATATTCTTGATTTGTTAGGCTGAGTCATAATATATCGTTTAATAAGTATTAAGAATATAATAAAGAGGACAATCGAAATTGAACAAAAGAAATGGATGTGCTGTTTTTCTTTTTTATCCTTAGATGTAAAATTTTTATTTAACATATTTTTCTCACTTTTTTCCATTAATATTTTCGTTTAAATTTAGTACAAAGTTTGTGAAAAATATTATATTTTATGGTTAAAATATACAGCAGGAATTCAAATTCGAAGTTATTTGCAGTTCTTTAGATCTAAGAGAAGCAGTTATTTACCATTGAAATTTCTTTAATCTACAAAATCAACTGTAAATTTTTGAATATGAATGAAAAAATGTTTTTCTGAAGCAACTTTTTTTTTTGGTTTTATATTTTAGTATAAATATAATTCGGATAATCTAACAGATTTTTTTTAGTAACTGACTGTTTCTTATATTTCAAAAATACCGAAATATATTTTTGCTTGTAATCAAAGCTTCTTAAAAAAATATAAAATGGACACCTGGGTCCCATCTGCGCTAAAAGGTTAAGGACAGGAGTGATTTAACTCACTTAGCAATGCAGGCTTGTAAAAGTTATCCTATATCGATGGAGTAGCAACGGGTTGTTTCAGACTTTCGCATGCGTGTTTGGATGAAGTAAGTAAAGGATGGTAAATGTGAATCTATCATTGCAGAAAACTGATATTTCAAAGCGATTACAACGATTTACTGGCTGATTCGTCGACTATTCTCGGCTCGCACAGAATAAAGTGTTGAGGTTAAATATCTTCAGTGGTAGACGAATTATGTATTAGAATCTCGTTGGCGTCAGACAAAACAAGGAAGGTTTTTGTGTTTTTTATCTTCATATAACGTAAATGCGTTAGTTCCGTCAAAATGATCACAAGGGTGAGTTTATTCAAATGCTTTGAGCAAGGAGTTTAATTGCCTTCTGGATTGAATTCAAAATTATAATGCTATGGAATTGGATTTGATAGCCAATTCGGATTGGCTGTTTAACACCAGGTATAAAATAAAAACAATATTTTAAGGCTATGATATTATGGAATCTGGAGCGGTTTGTAATATTTGTTGGGTATTCGTCGGGCATTCGTTGAGTGACAAATATGCGTATTGTCGAGGGTCGGGGGAATGTAACCCTCCCCCTTCGACGATACGTCTATACAAGACTATGCTATATACTAGAAGGCAATATTTTGCCAAAATACAAATTTTTCCTGAATTGATTGCATAATAATTTTTTTTAATAGCTGAACAAAAAATAGAATTATTACATACATTATCCCATTTTTTCTATTCAAATCTTCTCTAACTTATTATTATTATTAATTTTTACTTAGTTTGGCTTCAATACTTTGTTTGGACTCGTAAAAAATCACTTTTAAAAAGAGAAAGAGATTTTAAATTATTGATTTTATATAATCGTCTGCTTCAGGAATTTTTTTAGGTATTTTCGTTCCATGTACTAAAACGTGGGTGCCGGTAAAAACAGCTGTTTAAAAAGCAGGTGAAATGAATATCGCTCTTTTTTTTTATGTAAAAGGGATCGTTAATTACTTGTTAAGACTTCGGTAATGCACCCATTTTCTGAAATGTACTTGTTCGTAAGTTTGGCTTTTCAAAACAAGATTGTTTGTTATATTTAAAATCTGAATTTTAACACTCCTAAAAAGGAAGTCTCTTTAAAAAATTTCTCTTTTTCATTTTTAAAAAAATTGCATTTCTCTTAAGGTAAGTAAAATATTTTTACTTTAAAATATAAGAAAAATTATTCTTTTAAAAATTGTATTAACTGCATTAATGTCCAGCAATAAAAAATAATTTTATTTTACTAATTTACAGTTACTTTTTTTAACTAGTCATTTTTACCGGTATACATACTAATTTTATCTAAGTAAAACATTAGTTAATACATTTTTTGAATTCAGAAGTTGAATCAAAACGAAACTGGGCATAAATAATAATAATAATTGCATAAGGAGTAACCCTGCAGATGTTAGGGAAGAAAATAAAAGCCTTCCCTTACAATATAATAAATATCGCCATAAGAAAATAATGTATTTATATTAAACTCTTTATAAGTTAAAACTTTTATGAGAGAAACTCATTACTATGCAAATCATTAATACTTATGGGAGAAATAACAGGGTATAATAAACTATGAATATTCATAATTCAATCTAAACTGTCACTAATCTAGCCAAATGTTTGAATTAAAAATTAAGAATGGAATGAAAAATGTCTTAGTGTTCCACGTAATTTCAATTTTGACTTTTTTTAAGTGATAAGGATTGTTCGACATTTTTTTACCCTTTGGTTGTTTATGTTTCGCCGTTTAAAGTTTACATTTATTAATGTAACGCACACCTTAAATATGAAAGTGTAAAATTAAAATTGTGTTAAGAAAATATTGTTATGAGTATAGTTCGAAAATTAAATTGCCCGTCGTGCCCGTGACATGCATTTTTTACCCATGTAAATATTCAGCGATATCGTAAAATACCGATTAATCTTCCCACAAATTCTTGGAAGCTGCGAATCAAGGGAGCTGAAGGAAATGAATCGATTATATTTCCTAAGACCTAAATATTATTGAATTTAATTTTCTAAATAAGAATTTATTAAAACAGAGCTTTAAATTTTTTTATTTATCTAGTAATGCTTTTTTTTATTCAAAGAAAAGTTTATAAATATGTACATAATTCAAACGCACAGATTTAGTGTCTTATGTTTAAGTATTTGACAATGTTTTGAATAATTTGATTCCTGTGAGCAGAAATATCAGCTGTCGTAATTGTTTAAAAATCAGAGTAAATAATTATTTTCTTTTTTTATATTTATTTCTAAATAAATACTTTCGTTTTGAAATGCATTCTTCTTGATTTAGAATATTTTATATTTGAATTGTATGACTTAATGTCACTTACTTTAATTCATTCTCTAAGAAAATCTCCATTTTCTTAGAGTAAATATTTTAAGTGTAATAATATAATAGGTATATTACCTTTATTAAAAAAACCCTTACTAAAACATTAAGATTTAATGAATATTTGCTTAATTATCATATTTCCTGATTCATTATTTAATTCATAATTGAAATTGCAATAAAAAATAGAAAATTTTCAAACTTTATTTTATTTTTGAAGTTTTTTTTATAAATTTATCATTTTAAAATAAAAATGTCACGGAAATCAAAAGGTGACCTATTAATATCATCTTTTTTTTAAAAAAAAATATAGAAGCTTTTACAAATAAATTCTTATGTCCCCCCCCTCCCCAAAATTTTTCGTCACATTACACCTATGCAAATATGAGCAATTTAAAATCGTCTTAAGTTCAAGCTTTATTGCATAACGTTCAGGAAATTTCGTGAAACTTACAATTGTCATTGTTGAAATATTTTAGAATAAAAAATTTAAAAAACAATAGAATTATCAAGACTTATTTTATGGCCTATAATGCTCTGATCTCTTTTTCCTTTCTTTCTTTCTTTTATCCTTTGAAAACGCCTTATGTTTTAGCAAAGTTGTTATTGAAAGACCGAAATTTTTTTGAAAGATGGATAAACGTCTAATTATTAAAGAATTTAAAGTATTTTAAAGCAGGTTTATGCATTAAATTTAAATGTTTCGATTATCTTAACTTATTTTTTTAACATTCTAATTTTGAAGAAAAGAAAATTTTCTATGAACGAACTGGTAATAAAATCCTCTTACATTCCTCTCTTCTGAAAAATATAAAAAACGCAGCAAGGTAATAAACATAAATAAAGAGATCATCTTTAAATTGCTTATTATTTTACAAACCAATAGGAATATAATAGAAGCGTATCGAATCCGCTCAATCCTTTAAATGCCAAATTCAATTCCACTTTGACCTCACTTTCTATGGTTTTTGAATTTCAAGTTTCTTCTCACGTTTTAACTTGAGATCTCAGACGATTTCTTTGAAAATAAAATTTTAAACCATAAAGAACGAATTTAAATCTGACAGTAGCATTTCTTGCTTGCGCATCAAATCATTGAAGCGATCTACTGGAAAATTTTTTAAATATTTTTGCTAAGTCGTTTTCAGTCACGCATAGTGAAATATTCTTAAGAAAACAAAATAATGTCATTTTCGAAACAATAGTTTTCTCTAGATGGAGGTAAAATGTTATGAAGAGAGGAAAAGGCAATAAATGGCTGATGAGTTTGGAGTGACATATATGAAAGCATACTTATCTTGTGATCTCGAACTATTGTCAAGGTAATTTTATAATATTATTGTTCATTTTTATTTCTTCAGGAATACATTATGCTGTTTCATAATAAATTTATTAGCTCCCAAGGCATTTTAAGAAGGACTATTTTTTCCCTCAGAAAAGTAGTGGCGGATTTATTTCGTTATTTAGCTAGAAAATTTTGTAAGGACTAAAATTATAGATCTGTTATCGCTCTATTTTTAATTTTGTCATGAAGAAGTACCACAACGAAATGCGTGTTGTACAGAGCGCAAATTAAAAAAAAAAAAAAAAAAAAAAAAAAAAATGATCACCCTGAATAACTTTTTATGATCGGATTTTCTCGTTATAAGGCTCACTGGTTCGAGGATGTAACCTAAATCAGTGCTAATTGGTTCTTATTTTAAATATGTTAGTTAACTAGTGCAGATTATATTTTAAATTACTAAATTAGACACAGAAATGTACTTTTTTTGAATGTTTACACCCCTTTTTTCGACGTATTTGAATTCTTGACTTTTAAAATATGTATCCGCAATTTGGAAAATATGGCCCCAGTACTTAGGTCAAAAGAACGGTCGAAAATGTTAATTTAACTTTTTCAGCGGATTTCGCAATATCTTGAAAATCTTTCAAGCGAATTGAAAAATTTTCACACATTTTATAACATTTGTTCTTACGAAGATGATTTCATGTAAAAAAAAAATAATTTGACTGATTATTGTCTATTATTTTATTTAATTATGATCGAAAATTTTTTGAATTGTAAGGTATAAACCCTTTTTTTTTTACATAATTTAAAAAAATGTAGTTTTAAAATAAAATTCAAACTTTGAACGAAATAATCTATCGAATAGTTTCTGATTTAATATTTTTTTAGAAAATTGTACATATAATATTTGTTTTCTGAAGAGCTATTCGTCCTATTTAGTGCAATTTTCGTATTTCGTCATTTGAAATTACATTTTTTAAGATGATGCAAAAATTTGTATGCCTTGGAATTTACATGTTTTTTCGACTATCATGAAATAAAATAATGAAAAGAAAACCAAATAGTGCAAAATAATAAATAGTCGTTAAAAATCAATTGGTTACACGGAATTCTCTATGGATAAATAAACTTTATAATTATGTGCAAAAACCTTTCGATTCGCTCTAGGCTCCAGGCACCCAGCCAGTTTCTATCGAACAAATACTTTACAAATATATTTTGAAAGAAATTTTTTGTCTCGTGTATATAAATGAAAACATGTTTTAATTTTTAGATTTTTTTGAACTAAGATTTAAAAAAATGTCTTTAAACGAAAATTGGGATGACTGTTTGGATGTAGAATAATACAAGGAAGGTATATATGCTGTGAAAGGATATATGCTAATAATGGATTTACAATTAAATAATTTTTCTTTTGAATTCCTTGAGTTTTTTAATCGCATTTACAAATGTAGCTTCTGTTAAACTTAGGATATTTTAAAAATAGTTTAATAAAATGACGATACATAAAATGAAAATCTTCAAACTATCAAGGTTTAATTTTTATTCATCTGATAACTATACATGTAGTTTACGTGCCATGAGATCTACCTTAATACAATCTCTTAAACTTTCCGATACTTGATGAGCAATTTAGAAGATTCATATAGCTATTTTGATGACCTTAATGTTACGATTCTATCGCTGCGTCCTACTTATTTTGAATCCTAAAAATATAGAGTAACTCCTATATAAAGCAACCTAGATCATATATTTATTTATTTAAATTAATTATTTTTTATATTTCTTTTATTTTGTTGCTTTTGACATTAAGTCATCGTTGTAGTTTCAGTTGTAGTTTGTTACTAGAGCTGCATAATGGGCTATTGGTGACGATCTGGGAAACATCCCTGAGGATGATCCGATGACATGCCATCACAATTTTGATCCTCTGCAGAGGGGATGGCCTCCTCGCTTCGGTAGCTCGCCAACCAGCGCGCGAAGTCAATCACGTTACTGTAGAACTGTTTAACGAGGACCAATACGGCACTCCCTCGATCCTTTCGCAGGCTGATCCCATTGGTCACTTACCCGCACGCTAACCGCAATCAGTGATGCTTCTGGGAATCATATCTTGGTCTTATCGTATCAGATTTCCGTATCATATATCTCCTTAAAGGCCTTATCATATCAGATAAGTGTGATAAGGTCTATTAGTCCACTACGGGATGAATTGAGCGAAAGAGATAGATTTTTCAACAACAGTAGATCGCTAATTATTTTTAAAAAAAAACAACCCACTTAAAATTGCAATAATTTCCTGACAAATAGAAATTTCGTTAAGTTTAGAGCTCTCGTTAAGTTTAGTAGAGCTCTCGTTAAGTTTATGATTCAAAATTGTTCTATCAGCGCGTAAAATTTAAACTTTTTAGTAGTCTTAGATAGATCGACATGATTTTTCTTACAAGTTTAACAGTTCGAATTCGAATATTCGAATCGCGATTTTTCTTTCTTTTCCGCTGAACTCCTTGTAAATTTTTTACACACCCTGATAATTTCTTCTATCCTGATAATTAATCTTATAGTTTTTGTGTAACAAAACAAAATGTTACGTTAAGTTGAATACCAAAAATAGCAACGGCAATTGTCGGTGGCCGTAAGGGCTTTTAAATATAGAGAGTTATAATAAACAAAACTGTTATTTGTAAATTCTCATATATTTTCAGTATTATGCATTTGTAACAGATTGTGAAAATAATTTTTTCATTTTATTTTTGACTATGAAGCATTTTTCCATGTTTCAAAATAATGTTAACTTCTTTTGAATATCGTGTCGAACCCTAAAGCGGAAGTGTCTTCTATAAACAAAAAGGTTAATATTTATCAAACTTTTATGTAATTGTCAAGGATGATATTCTTTTTTTTCATTCACAATATCACACTTTTTTCAACCTCGACTAGCCAAGCGTTTGACTCGGATTAGATGGAAGTTCGCCAAACGATTCATTGGCGTGATATTTAACGTTTAAATATTATTTTCACATCATGCGTTTTTGATCATGTATCGGAATTTAATAAAACTTTCCTCGGGGAATTTGCGATTTTTTTTAATTCAGCTGGATTAGAAAGAAGTGACTAATGAGGTTATCGCATGGCTAAAAATAAAGAATCTGAAAAAAACTGAAGTTAATTAGAAAAATTTTGGTCGTTGAAAAAATGATTATACAATAAGGTGGGCCAAAAAGCACTTTTTTCGAAACCATTGTTCTTATAGTAAATGTTGAAAATTTTGTTCTTATATTTATAGTAAATGTTGTAAACGTCTAAAAATAAAGCAAATGTAAGAAGTTATCAGCTTCATTATAACAAAAGTGATAAGAGCATTAATTTTTTTCAGGTACGACAAACCGTAATTTGAAAATGATAATAATCTATATGTAAATAAATGAATACTTATATGTTCTTGATAGATTCTTAAGCCATCCGATCAAGATCGATGAAATTGGGCATACTGATAGTTCGAAGCATGGGGAAGGTCATTTGAACATTCTACTTCAAACCATGAGTGAAAAATGAAATGGAAATTTCTGATTGGTTAAGCGGTAGCCATTATTTTAATTTCCAAATGTTTTAAATATGACATCAGTAATACTTGCTAGTTTATAGCTCCATTTGATAAAAAAGGAGTTTATTGCACGCACATTAATACTTAAAATTATTTTTTATTCATTATTATGTAAGATAAATTCAATAATCAATGTTAACGTAGTGGAATGCGTGGACAACGCCACCGAATTTCTAAAGTTATCTGATAGCATGCGCTCATTTTGTTAATTAATGTTCATAATATGTTTTAATTGAAATAAAAAAATTACATTTACTTAAAAGCAACGCTAATGCAGACAGATATTTTTTGGGGGGGGGGATCTTAAAAAAATATTATATTTACACCAATTCTTAATAAATCTTGGTAATATGTATTAATTGAAATAAAAAAGAAAGCTATGATCTAGAAAGCAGAGTTAAAGGAAAAAAAGTACTTATTCATTTAGGAGAACAGTAAAAAATCGTCCTATGTAGATAACGCTTATTAAAATTTTGGTAATACGTACTATTGGCACTATGGTAATTGCAGAGATGCGAACTGCTCCGTATTCGACAAAATATTTTAAAAAATGGTAGAGCACTACAAACTAAAATTTGGCAGATTTTCGGTGATTTTTACCAATTTTTTACAAAGCTCGATATAGCTTGATTATAAAAAAGTGACCCATATTATGTAAACCTTTGAATTATTTAGAAGTAATTGTGAATAAGATCCCTATAAATCGAATTTACTAAACCCAGAATCGTACATTGAAAAACTACCACATGAATATACTTATTCGCTGTCCGGAGCAAGTTGGTATCTCTCTATTTGGCGCAGTTTTAATAAGAATTCTATAACGGATTTTCTGTTGTTTCAGAAAATATTTTTTCCAGTGGAAGCAAAAATGGTACGTTAAAGTTTTAATGAGTTAGAATTAAAAGAACATTTTTCCTGCCCTTGTCATGCTCTAAAATCCCTATAAATGTTTTTATCAGAAATTTATTTGTTTTAAAAATTTTGGCTTCATTTTGCTTCCACTGATGAGAATATTATATTGATTTATTTGGAAATTATTAAAACTTTACCAATATTAAGCAGTTTTAATACCAATATTATGGAAATACGAGTAAGTGTTCTACGGCCACTTAAAAAGGATAGGTACAGAAGAAAATTGCTTGCTGGTGATAAATTTTGACAATCATGCGTTGGCTGCGAGCATTAGTATCATGCCAAGTGATGCTGTTAATCTCTATTCTGATGGCATGAACAACCAAGGACTTGTTTTGATTAATTTACAAGAGTAAATTCACCGACAAAGAGCAGCAAACAATAAAAATAAAAAAGATAATTGTTAAAATACGTAAAAAAATGATAATTATTTTAGTATTGTCGGTATACATCTTTCAGTATTGGCATTGTTTCAGTAATAATCCATTGATTATTTTTCTTTTTTTTATACACCCCGTACGAAGAATGGGTATTCAGCTAATAATAATAATTTTCTGGGTTAAGATGTTGATAATCTAAAAATTCTTTATAAGTCCTCGTAAAAAATGCAAAAAATAAATAAATAAAAAAAAAACCTTTAAAAACCATCAAAAATGTTTTTAAAATGAAAAGTAATGCCAGTAAAATTTTTCGAAAACATGTTTTGTTTTAAGATCGCAACTTGAACTTAATTTAAGTAAAAAAGAAACAGAAGTAATTAAAATAAATATATTTATGTATGAATGCATTCGCTTCGTTGTCGTAGGGGGAAGGTGGTTATATGTCCTCTCAATAATTAGTAATCCCTCAATATTTTAGAGAAATACACAAATACAGATCATTTTCATGAATCTTCATCAGTTCAGTTATGTAAAAAGCAAGTTAAGCAATTTTTTAAAAAAAATACCTTTTTAGCAGATATGCAATAGATGGATGACAAATTTAGAGACCTTTAATCTGAACCTTTTTTTTCTTCTTTCTAATCCGTCCCCCTCAAAAATTTGGCGGCTGTGACGCCCATGAATGATTGAAACGAAATGTAAAAAAATACCTGATCAAAACTTACATTGTGTTAGCAAATGTTTTTTGGTATTCTTAAAATTGAAAGATTGCCTGTTGTTCTAAAGCAAATCTTGAAAAACTCTGCTCTGCATCAATGCTTGTCAATGGAGCAGGGGCGTGCTTAGGGTTTTCGCAGCACTGGGCGAAACATTGAGGCATCTTATTACGGTTGAACAAAATCAAGTTTTATTCAGAAAAATATATATTAATCATCGGATTTCTATTTTATTTCAATCAGAATTTAAAAAAAATTTCTTTTTCCTCTTTTAACGAACAAAATTCCGATAAAAATTATAAGTAGTACTTAACAACAATACGGCAAACTAAAATTTTTAATACTACAATTAATAAAAAAGTTAGATTAGTATTTAATTATGACAAACAAATTTCTACAATGAGAGCATTAAAATATGAAAATGACAGGGAAAAAAATAATGAAGTATTATCATTTTAAAGTAAAATTCTTATTTTCATTTAAATTCTGAAACAGAAAAAGAAAGTCTTATTTCGTTTTGTAATTTATTAACCTATTCCTAATTAAAAGAATAAAACATTTATTTTCAATGAAATTTGATTTCAGTAATTTATTATTGCATCACAGCATTAAGTACATACATATTAGATAATGCAGTACTGTATAAATATTTTCCAATTAAATATACGATTTTAAAAAAATCATATAAATCAATGATTTTTTTGAAGAAAAAGGTGCAAATGGGTAATGGCAAATTTAAAATGGGCAATAATTAAAAATTTTAAAATAATTAAATTTCTATGATGTCAAAGTTGAATTCAGGCTCTTATTTTAAAAATTACACTCCTAATATAGAGTATCATTAACTGAAATGAAATTAGACAGATTTGGAAACATAAATTAAAATAATCCGCATGAATGATATCCAAGGAATAGGAAAAAAGTCTATGCAAGATTTAGCAAATGTAAGGAAAAAAATTACTCTCAAATATGGATAAGTTAAAATTGTTTACAAATATGGATTTGTTATTTTTAAAGCAATTTTCTAGATTTTGAGTAGCAAAATTGTCTATTAAAACAAAAAGATCTAAATAAGTTGATAGATCATTTTCAATAGAACCGAGTATCTATCAAGGTTTCTTTGATAGATCATGAGATGATAGATCATTTTCAATAAATAAAAGGCGGGTCTTACTCATCATTGATCTCAAATATGTTTTTATCAGCGTTCTGCAGTTTAGTTAATTTTTGGAAATGAGCGTTTTGCAGTAGTAATGGTTACAGGAACAGCAAGAAATTTTTTTAAAGTAATCCCAAAATTTTGCATAGCATCATTAACATTGTTTTTGTATTGCAAGTTTGTTTTAATATAGCATTTACAGTCCTTCTTGAGACTAGTATTCATAGACAGTAACTAAATAGCAAGATGAGTGAAGATGACTATGGCAATGTTTTTTTCACAACCTCCGGAGGAAAGATCTATTAACATATTTACTATTGCGACAATAGCAGGCTATAAGATAAATAACCTGTTCAACTGGGAAAGAGATAGAACTAGGAGTGTAAGAGTTAAATAAATTTTCTCAGCATGGTAAGAAAGTGAAGGGAGAAAAAAATTATAACTTAAGTATATTAACAAGTTTTGAAATTTTAGAGACCCTAATTTTTAGCGACCCTGTTCACCCACCCCTAAGCATCGCCTGAATTGGAGGATATTTAAAATAACAAAATTCAGTACAAAATTTTATAAAGAACAAAAAATATTTCTCTTTTAAAAATCCTCTTAGAATGGAAAGTATCATTGAAAAATTCCCAAAGAATGGAAAATTCACAAATAATGATTAAAATATGAAGGAAAAAAAATAAAAATCTTGAATAATGCACTTTAAAGAAATAATCATTCAACATTGTAGCCCTGGCTATAATATTAATTATGATGCCAAAGAATTGTATGTGCGTGAATAGGCATTTGATTAATAAATTTTTTCCAAAATAAATTATCTAATTGACAGTAAAATATAATGTTTAAATGCAAATAAATTGAATAAAGACAATTGTAATGTTAAAAATTAGGAGTTGCGTTTGAGTACAAAGCTGAAGTAACGAATCAAAATTTTACTGAACGTTAAACATTTACTGTAAACATTCTATTAAAAATATAATACATCATTTCATTTCTAGAGAGAGTCTGAAAAACTTATTTTTAAATAAAATTTTATTTGAATCAGCTTTTTTCATTATTTTTTGATGCTAAGTTGACATCAAATAGTAGCGTGCATTAAATCATAAAATTTTCACGCATCTCACTAAATAAGAAAAAAGTAAGTCTAAAAAAAAACATCCCTGAATTTACGAAACGATAAAGAGATAATGTTTAAACGTGATATTTATGCCCGTCTCGGCGTGAGACGAAAGAAGAAGAAAAAAAACCTCATTACCTTGTTTTTCCCTACACACATAACTAAAATTCTCTTTTTCTTCCTTAGACGCCAAAAAAGCATCATCTTGGCGATGAGGAGTGATAACAAAACGGCAACCCTACGGAAAGGCGGCAACTCTGTATCCACGCTTCGGATCCGATCTTTTCCTTCTCACATAGACGGTTGTCATGGCAACGGATGTCAACAATTCCGTGTGTGGCCATCCCAAAAACATAATAGCATGCCTAGGATAGCACTGTTACCGGATCAATTATACGAAGAAAATGTGGTTGTGCATTCCGAAGATTCGGATGAAGCAGATGATGATTTTCGGGAACAATATGCTCGGGAAGTGCGGAAAATTCGCGACAACATCCGAGCTATCCGCCGCATCAAAATCCGTAGTTCTCGTTCATCCGCCGCATCCTCTTCCATTCCACGGACAACACGTGCTCATTGTGGCCATCAACTGAAGACAAGATCTGTCAGTTGTTCGCAATTTGAACAGCAGCGCCCCACACGGGAGAATGGTGAGTAATTAAAATTATATTATTTTACAGCGATGCTAATGGCATTTTATATACGATTATTATGAAAATTTTTTTTAATTCCTATTCCATTTTGACAGAAATAATGTTTACTTTAAAAAAATATTTCTCAGTTTCATTTCTTTACATAGTGATTTATGTTTTAAATGACGCATGACGTACCGATATTTAGAAACGTTTAGGGAAAAGTCAGAAACTTTCTTCAGGCAAATTCACATGGGGGTAAAAATTCATGGCAGTTTATTGAGAAGTATGAAGTAATTTTGTTTCCTGTATTTTAGAAAAAGATAGATATTACGATCAAACTATTGTACCTGTTTCCGCATTGTTTCATGTCTTTTTTTCTTAATTTAAATTTTTTTTAAAAAATGGAATAAATCTTTTACTTATTTATTTTTAAATTCTAAACAGCTTGATTGTTACGACATTGTTCTGATATATAGCGTTCGAAGAACTTTTCTTTAAAAGGTCATAATTTTAGTTATAATAGCTGACTTATAATCTGGTTTTGCAAATATAATTCAAAACTATTTATTTTTACGGCTTAGATGTTTTTTTCATAGTTTTTCTGAAAGTCTGGAATGTTTTTCAAAAAATTTCGAAAACGTTTTCCTGATAAATTACATACCTGCCAACTTTTCCAGATTTTCCGCAAGATTTTATTCTTATAATATTTAATGTGGTAACAAAATGTAATACTTGGTGATATAAAATAATTTCGAATGCCACTACATTTAAATAATTTAAACATACGTATAGTAGAATTGAGACCTGAAGTGAAACGCTAGTTTACAACCTCAATTTGAATTGCGTTACCCTACTACCAGGAAAAAACTTTTTTTGAAAAGCGTAAAAGTTGATAGATATAGAACAGTTTTCATTTCCAGTGATGCCAAATCGCTCTGTTTTAACGTGAATTTTTTCTAGTGGTAATAATGTCACGTTTAAATATGTGATTCTTAATTTAATAAATTTGATTGAAAGTTATTTTCTCACCACTATATATAAATAAATTTGAAGTACACATAAAATACTATTCTACGTATCTTGGAATGAACATGTTAAAAAGTAACTTTTGTAAGTTTTGTTTTAAAGTCTTTCCCACCAGAGGGCTAAAACCATTTGTTGTAAAACAATATGAAATAGTACTGAATGCCGGATGTAAAGCATCGGCTTCGATGAAGATAATTTTGTGAGAATGTTTTTGATAATTCGGTGAGAATTCACCCGATTAGACATATGATACTCACTCTGTGCTCTTGCGCGCCGAAGCCTATCAATTAAAACGTATTAGCGTTTTATATAATATAGATTAGCCATATGATGCTCACTAAGTGCTCTTCCGCGCCGAATCCTATAAATTAAAAATGAAAACTGTTGTCAACACGAGAAAAGAAATATCATCGGTTTTATTGATACATACGTATTAACGTTTTATATAATATATAATATGATATATGAGAATGAAATATAAATTAAAGTCTAGTGTTTGTTCATGCAAGAATTAGTTGCAAGATCAACCATTCTAGTATGTTATAATTAGGTTATATGCCAAACAGAAAAGTGTGCCGTTTTTCTTCAAAGATTCTTAACTTGAATGATTTTAATTACTTTTAATTTCAGGTAATTATCTATAAAATACGCTCACACAGGCTAAAACTTTTACATAATGTATTTTTAAAATGTTTTTCGTTGTGTAAAAAACTAACAAAACATTTAATGTCGGTATGGACTTTGAAGAACAGGGTTCCCACTCTTTTAACGAAGCAAAAATTCAGCACTTTTAAGGACTTTTTTTTGAAAAAATTAAGCACTTTTTTGAAAAAATTAAGGACTTTAAATATAGTATTATTGTTTATCATCAGTGACAGTGCAAATTATTTACCTTTCTGAAAAATCAATAAATATAAAAATAATAAAAAACAATTTTATTATGATTTAAGAACTGATAAAATTGTATTAATTAACAGGACTCGTCAAAGAAGCACCAGATAAATTTTGCAAACCCTGGTCAGGTTTTTTATAAAACATTTTCAGACTGTTAAAAGTTAACGTCATTCAGATTGTAAAAGTTAACGTATGAAACTAACCTGTATTCCATTTTCAATGATGTCACTGAAATTGAATAAAAAGCAATTTTATAATTATTTCTAGTTCAAAAATTTTTCTGATACTTCTTTTCTTAGCGTTTTACTTAACCCTTTTGAAGGCCGTGGTAAGTATACTTACCACCACGTTTTATCACTTTTAATTAGGGTTTCCATTTTTCAATAACTTCAGCTTTCTTGAAGTGAGTTTGAATAAAATTGGTAACCATTTGTCACTTTTAAAAAACTTATAAAAGTTATAAAATACATAATTCCTTTTGAAGTTTGTAGCATTTAAGGAATTAATTTTATAAATAAAGAAAAATAAAAGTCAGTAAGTTTCTAATAGGTCATGTTAAATATATTTACCACCAAAAAAATGGCATTTTTATAAACTAAATTAGTTTTTTTTTAAGATTAATTACTGTTCTTAAAACAATTTCAATTCCAAAAATAATTTAATTTACCTTTACTAGAAATAATGGGTCCGTTAAAGGGTTAATCCCTATAAGCAGATGCGTTACCAATAGAACTGAATTTCTTGAATTCTGTCAATTTTGAAGTTTAGTGTGGGTCTTCTACTTAGGTACCTTAAAACTGCAACCCCCAAAAAAGCACTATCTCTTCCATGTGCATTATGCCCCATATTCCTTTCTTCTAGAATGCTTCACTCTCCTCATAGAGTATCATTCTAGGCAAAAGACAGAATGTATTAATGGAAGAACCAATATATTAATGACTAAGCATACTTTCTTCCCCTTACCTATAGCCCTCCTACACACATAAATTTTTGTCTCTCTAAAATGCTTTACCCTCGATGCATGGTCTAATTCCAAAAGATAAAAGAACGAAATTTTGTTTTAAAAAATTGAACTGAAAAATTGTTATGAACTATAGTTTGTTGAAAAATTAAGTACTTTTAACCCTATCGCGCCGACTGTCACAAATACGTGACAGCATAAAACAGTATCAACCAGGGTAAAAAGATAAAACTGATAATCAAAGTAATTCTTTAGCAGTTTATTTGTGGACTAGGTTATAATTGTTTGATTTATTTAATTCACCATAACTTAGTTCAAAATAAAATTATTTAGTTATACTTTCACACGTTCACACGTAAAAATCCATAACTATCAATTGTTTTTAACGGATGCAATTTTTATATTGAATTGCTTCTTCACCCTGATAAATTTCCTTACAGTGAGTTGTTATTGTTGAGAATAGTTTAACTCCTCCCGAATATTATCTAATGTTGAAATAGTTCTTCTACCAGTATTTTTTCTTCTCCCGTACCAGTATTTTCACTTTTCCCGGCGTGGACGTGTTAAAACATTGATTATATATATGATTAAACTAATAATAATTAAATTCAAAGCAAAGTAAGTCTGTAAAATTAGCAATGCCTACATTTAAGCTACCGTTTTTTATTTATTTACATCCTGATTCTGATTTTGTACGAATGCTTTCATGAATCACCCGTCCCCAAGGGGTTAGGAGCCCTTTTTTTCCAAAATAAAAATTAAGCTGCTTTTAAGGACTTTTAACCCTTTCGGGCCGACTGTCACAAATACGTGCCAGGATAAAACAGTATCAATCAGGGTAAAAAGATAAAACTGGTAATCAAAGTAATTCTTAAGCAGTTTATTTGTGGGCGGAGTTATAATTGTTTGATTTAATTTAATTCACCATTACTTTGTTCAAAATCAAACTATTTAGTTATACTTTGAATTAACATTGATTATATATAAGATTAAACTAACAATAATTAAAGTAAAAGCAAAGTCAGCCTGTCAAATTAGCAACGAGTACATTTAAGTTACCGTTTTTTATTTAATTACAACTTGATTCTGATTTTGTACGAATGCTTTTCTGAATCAACCGTCCCCAAGGGGTTAAGGACCGTGGGAACCCTGTTGAACAAACATTTAATTATAATAATATCCTAACTGAATTTTGACTTTTCAAAAATATAATTGCTATGCTTATGAAGAAGAATGTTTAAAGGAATGTTGGTAGCATTTCCGTGATATTTGATTTACTTTTAATTGTTTACATTTTTAGAGGCGACTAAAAATTTTGCATTATTATTTTGCGTATTTTTCAGCCATCTTTTTTCGCGGTAGAAGATAAATCAACAAAAAAATCTAGTGTTTGTAATAAAAGCTATAATTGTTTTTTTCATTCCGTTTTCGTCTTTCAAAAGAGTGAAACGATCTCTCTAAGGCATGGACAGAGCTCTCAAATGCAAGCCAAAATAAAATAAGTGATAGTAAACTAATCTTCAAAATAAGTGAATATTTCTCTGATTAAACAGCCATTTAAATTTAAGCATTTTTCACCTGGAAGAAACAATATTTATATAAAAGGATTTAGCTTATCAAATCATTGCGGTGGTCAAAAACATTTATGTTATAATTTTTAAAAACAAGATATATATTTCCTGAAATAAATTCTAATGCCACCTTATTTGCTATATGCGGACCATTAGGGGAGCCTAACGGTCGAATCTGATCTAAACTTAAAGATTCTCAATATATATGGTCCACCCCCTAAAGGATGTAATAAAGCGAAATGGGGGAAAAAATCAAAAAAAAAAAATGTATAAAATATATATCGAGAGAAAAAAATGACAAAAAGTTCGGATATAATGAAAAAATAAAATACAAGTTTGCCCTAAAAATAATAAGTAGGATTATATTAGTACTGTACAATAATAAGCGTATCAATCATAAAATTAAAACAAAATTAATATTTATTTCACAATTCCCTGTAGTAACTTTAATATAACCTTAGAATGATTAGTAACTTTAGTTGAAAAGTAACTGTAGCCTGCCTTGCAAAGGAAAAGTTACTCTTTCACAGAGTGTTACTTTATGAGGCAATCAAGATCTAGTA